ACCTTTAAACTTATTGGATTTTATTTTAGTTTAGTGGATATTTATCCATATAACAGAGCCAAGATTGACCCTTTACAACTGGCTATATTGTGTCGTGAGAAGGATTTTCTTTATTTTGATAATGGACGAACAGTTCTTGAACGATTGGTTAGTGAAATTAAGGAAATTGCTGTTGGGCTTAATATTGATGGAAAATTGATTAAGGCAAATCTTGTTTGTGTCTTGGGTGATAACCTTGGCAGTCACTTTATTGGTGGGTTTTGTACCAATTTTTCGAATGGTCAATATTATTGTAGATATTGCCTCATGATGAAACTATCTTATGAAACTAATCCTTTGAATATCAGAAATGCTGAACTAAGAACAGTTGAAAATTTTGAACACTCCGTTAAATTTGTAGAGGAAAATAATGTCGAGCATCACAATGGTATAAAATGTAATAGCATTGTCAATGACATAAATGGTTTTCATGTTTGTAATCCAGCTCTGCCCCCCTGTCTGGGTCACGACTTGTTTGAAGGTGTTGTTAAATATGATTTGGCACTGTTCTTGAAAAATTTGATCAATGTCAAAAAGTGGTTTGATTTAAAGACTTTAAATTTCTGTATTTCATCATTTGCTTATAAAGGCCATGATTTAGATAACAAGCCTATTCCAATAAAAGCAAAATGTGACAACATTGCAGGTCATGCTGTTCAAACCTGGACTTTTCTGCGACTTTTGCCAATAATTATTTCTGAACATGTTGCAAATTTTGAAGATGATGTTTGGAAAGCTATTTTACTATTACGAATAATTACAGAATATTTATGTTCGCCAAAAATATCAATCAATCAAGTTGGTATTGTACAGCACCTTTTAGATGACTATATAATAATGAGACAGACCCTGTTCCCGGGTGTGAATTTGAGACCAAAACACCATTATGTCCATCACTATCCCCATTTGATTACCCAATTTGGACCAATGCTCAGAGTGTGGACGATGAGATTTGAATCAAAACATACTTATTTTAAAAGATGTATTCGAAGTTCAAAAAATTTTAAAAATGTGACAAAAACTCTGTCTGAAAAACATCAGCTTCTTCAGTCTTATTATTCAGTGGGTAGTTTATTCAAGTCAGAAGAGGGACAATTTGAAGATGCTGAGAAATTTTCACCAAATTGTGTTGGGAAAGAAATATTTGACATAGTCCATGAAAAAGTTAACAATATTAACAATTTAAGATTTTCAAGATCTGTTTTGATACATGGTTATTCAATCAAAAGTGGTAATTGTGTAATTGTTGATAGTAAAAATGGATATATAGGTTTCGGTCAAATCCAATTTTTGCTATTTGATGAAGATTGCATTCCCCAGTTGCTCTGTAAATACATAAGTACAAGAAGAGCAAGGAATGGTTTATATGAGGTAGACTTTGATAAAGGGGACATTGTTTTGGTAGATTACAAAGCAACACTTGATTTATGCCCTCTGATTTTATATAATAATTCGATTGCTCTCAAAAATTATCCAGTCGACAAATGGAATTAGGTGTTTAGTTTTTTTTTATCCAATTAGGAGGCCATGGAGTATTTATACAGGCATTTTTCTAATCAAGTAACAAAGTTTTGTTCTTATGTAGATATACTGTAGATACTTGATATGATGCAGATCTTGTTTAGTTATCTTAAGAACTGTTCTAGCAAAATTAGAACTAAATTTTCATATTTATTTTTTAGATTACCATTAAAATTTCATTAGTAAATTTTAGTTGTTCAATAAAGAGGACATCATAGATTCTCGGATCTGTTTTCTGAAACTAAAGATAGAATTTTAGTATGTTTGACATATATTCTACAGTTATAAACTGTTCATTTTGACTATACATTAATTTGTATGGATTATATACATATCTTGTGTTTTCTGTTAAGACCTTTGAAGTTTTTGTAAGCTTATTTCACTTGATAATTTTTAATAAAATGTAATATTGAATGTATTTAGTTAGTTTTCTTTAACCTGAAGTTATATTTAATTTTACACCAGACACATGAGAGAAAAAGAACAGTAAGCTGATAATCAAGATGTATTATAGGCCTAATGAACAAGTGCTCCAGATGATAGTTACCATGAATTGTCTCAGACAACCCTTTTCTGGTGCAATTGGTTTAATACCTATGACTGATCAGATGTGAAACCAATAGCCTGTAAAGTTGGCTCATTTACAAGTATATATGATTTAACAAAATCATGTTAATGATTCTGAGCATTGCCATGTTAAAATACAAAACTATGTTAATTTACAGAAGTTCTGGCAACTTTTCTGCCAGGATTTTGCTGTAAAAAAACAATAATTTCAGGTTCATTTACAAGTCAAATGTTATTTTACAAGTATATGTAATTTAACAAAATCTTGTTAATGATTCTGAACATTTTCATGTTAAAATACAACACAATGTTAATTTACAGAAGTTCTGTCAACTTTATTGCCAGGTTTTTCCTGTAAAATAACAGGAATAATTTCAGGTTCATTTACAAGTCAAATGTTATTTTACAAGTATATGTAATTTAACAAAACCTTGTTCATGATTCTGAACATTGCAATGTTAAAATACAACACAATGTTAATTTACAAGAAATCCTGGCAACTTTTCTGCCAGGATTTTCAGGTTAAAAAACAGAAATAATTTTTACAGTGTAGGGCGGATTCGGAGGAGGTTCTATACTCAGACTGTCATAGCGTCTATTTGGAGATCGTGAACGATTGAAAGTCCCCCTACCTTCACAATTTAACGGAATAGAATCAGAAACGTGTCGGTACCATTTTAACCTATTCACAGTTTCATCAAAATCCAACAACCGTAGATTGGCGACATACCTGCTTCCTTCTATATCCCTACTTCCTGATAATAACCTTGATATAGCCTGTTTGGCGACAAATTGCCTGGGCAAGGCCGGGAAAGCTTTATCAGCCAACATCTGGACCCGGACTGCCCAATCATCCAGACTCTCCCTAGGATCCTGCTTAGCTTGCAGAAAAAGATTTTCCATTTGTTCCGGAAATTCTACAAAGCCAAATCGACGACCTAATTTTATCATAAGACCTTCAAAGGTTAAATATCTACAACTTCTATTCAAGTAACAGAAGTACTCACTAGCCTTCCCAGTTAAACAATAACATAAGCAATCTCTACACAATTCGTCATTATTAATCCAGACCTGACCTTTAGCATATCTATAAAACTTTTCTTCAAAAACATCCCATAACCCCTTGTTATCCTCCTCCCCACTAAACACAAGATTTCTTGGAATTTTACCATAATCCACCACATTCTCTTTTAAACCACTGTCCCCCACCCCAGGGGTTTCCGGAATACAGAAAGGCTCCCTGAACACCGGAGTTCCCGGTAATCTACGCTTGACTTTTAGTGCGGGAGTGGAACACCTGTCAGTAGGATTAACCTTGATAGGATTCTCTATTTCTTTTTCTAAAGATGCGTCTATCCAACAGACCCCAATAGTCCGTACTGGGCGAGTTCGCGCTGCCCCCTATAAAGCACTCTATTATTCTTCTCAACTAACTGACTACCCAAAAGTTAACACCAGCAACACAAACTTTCCTTCCCCGCTACAAATTTTAAGCTCAGCAGCGCCAATGAAGTGATTTGCCGAGGTATTAGAAAGTTAGGTTATGCTTACATTTAATCTCTTCGTAGCTGATAGTACTGACTAACTAGGTCTGCTCCGTAGGGTCGTCTGCGACCTCTGATCCAACGCCAGTTTCTTATATATTCCTCCTGCACGTGCATTTCACATCGAGTCTGCATTTGGGCGACCCGTACAGGTTCACAAGTTTAGGCGTTCTCGAGATACAGTTGAGTTTGGGCGAGCCAAACCAACTCTACAGTAGAAAAGTATTACTATGGCTGAATAGGATATAAATCAGGTATGTTAGTATCTAAACCGTATCACAAAACACAACAGTATTACCAATAGCATATGCGCAGTATGTTAGTCTCATAATTGTCTCTGGGGTTTTTTTTATCAAGCAACAGTTTCTCAATGTAGAATTTGAATACCCGGAAAGGAATAGTGTGAGACGGCCTAGGTTTACAAACTATATGCATTGTTTATTATTAAAGGGGAAGTGTCAGCGTTCACCAGGTATACAAATCAAGGGACAAAATGTGAAGGATTTTCTGATTTATCGCCCACCTCACATGAATAATGAAAGTTTGTATTTCTTTGGCATAGCATCATAAAATTTTAGATTGTCGAATAGGCCAAGGTTAGAGTCTTTCACGCAGAGTTAACCAGTTTATTTACTTTCATATTTCTATTACATATTACAGACATATCTCCTGTTATCGGTCGGACGATGGCGGCGTGGTAGTTCTTCTTTGGGTAAGCTACCTTTTACTTTTAAATAAACGATCTTCACCATATTACAATATTTTCGTCAAACTACATAGAATAGTTTCCGTCCTATATCGGACTAATATGACCTATGAGACAGGGGTAGTCCAATGTTACGGACATATTCGTATGTATAATCCGTCAACACCAATGAATTTGTCAATCGATGCGCATATTGATTTGAGTTTAGGAAAAAAGAGTTAACATTAATTTAATTCATGGGTTTTTTTTATTTTCAGATTGCACTAAAGGAGACAAGAAGTTTATGGTATCATAGAGAGGTCCACACACGTTATTATTTATCTTATACTGGGTCTGTCTTTATATTCTGGCTGGTTGATGTGTATAAGCTTGGCTTGTGCACCAGATTCCTTTGTAAATATCATGTGAAGTTTTCCATGATGTATTAATAGGTTTTTTTTGGTTGAAAGTTGTAGACATGGGGAGTAATTAAATTGGGATATATTAATATGGCATCAATCAACTAATCCCACATCTCCTTTAGGAAACTAATATTTTCTTTTTTGGGGTTTTTTTGTTTGTTTTTTTTTGCATGTTTTTCACTGCATTTGCTTGTTAGGTAAGGGGTGCTATACTTAATATATTCTGATATTTGGTTTATCTTAGATTTTTAATGCCCTTAATGTATATTGCAAATTTCTCATGAGAGTCCAGTAAAGATAATCTTGTATAACGTGTTTCTATGATAAACTTAGATGTATTGTTGATAGTGGGGTCTAGAGAGTTTACGGATACAGGTGAGTTATGCATCACCACTTTATAGATTTTAATATTTTTTGGTATGACAATAGACAAATGTAAAACGTGCTGTCTTTTTTATTAGTCCATAAACTGATTGCATTTTACAGGATTTTTATTGTAAGTTTGATGAAAAAAATAAATAAAGGGTCAAGAAAGATCTAACTAAACATAAATATAATTTTTTTCTTTAAAAATAGTGACGGCGCCGGTTAAAGTACATAAACTGAGATTAGATGTACAATACTTAATAATCCTTCACTAATTTACAGGATCGTGGGGATATGTTTGTAAGGGACGTATGAAGACGGTGATAGTTGTGGATGAGCAGGACACACAGCATATTATACATGGAGGTATTATTGTACAGACAATTATTATGCAATCGATGAGGTAAGCATTAATATCAATATTTTCTGTATTTCTAAAACAAAGTCGGAAGTGTTATTACTGTAATACAAAATTTCAAACATTATTTATGAGTTTTATTTAGAACATAAAATGTCGTTTAATGTAACACGATGAACCGAAATAGTAGTGGTTATTCATAGGAATTTCACGAATGAGGGTAGCTGATTGTGTTAGACCATTCCATTTCACTTCTTATCTGGAGTTCAAATATATATTTATACGTCTCGAATAATTCACTGTTTTCCTTATTTTAAAACATTAAAAAAAACATACATACTTGTTAATTACAACAGGCGATACGTTTCAAGTCAGTAGCTTGAAGCGTATATATGGTATTAGTGTCAGTGGCCTGTGGCACGAAGTAACAGTATATTGTCGCATACATAATATATTATGTCAACGCTTGGGCGATATAATATATTATGTCAACGCTTGGAACTAGGATGGAGGTGACTAGGCATGAACTTGCAACGATAAATTTAATTGGCGCTTTGATAACCAATGAATGCTTTGGAGACATATTTTGGCGGTATTTTCCATCATGGAATCGGTAAGTTTCGATTGTTTTTTTCTTTTCTGTTTTTTCTCTCTTTTCTGTGTCCTAACCCTAACCCTAACCCTAACCCTAATCCGAAAGAAAAGTGCCCTTTTTTGAAATTCTGACATCACAGGTGCCCTTTTTCTGATAAGGATGCCCTCTTTTATTTACAGGGACACTTTCTATTGTTAAGGGGGTGGACCGGTCCCCATGGTCCAACCCCTGGATCCGCTCTGATGACGCGTACATTCCACTGAGTCTACAGGTCTAATATGCTAACACGCTTGGAGCGTCAACACAATATATTATGTCGCCCAAGCGTTGACATAATATATTATGTATGCGACAATATACTGTTACTTCGTGCCACAAGCCACTGACACTAATACCATATATACGCTTCAAGCTACTGACTTGAAACGTGCAGGGTGATTACAACTTCTCTAGTTCATGTAGGCAACAAGTTTGTCCTTGGCTGTTGATATATAATGGTATATTTTACAGGACCACAACAATGTTAAGACGCCGAATGATCAATATGACGATTACCACTGGTATAGGAGAACAGACAGGGTAGGTATTAATACCAAACTTTACTTATTTCTAAATTATCCCTAAAATTTATAAATAATTCAAATTAAACTCCATGTGATATACTTAATTACATAATATGGTGGCCATTGAATCAAATTATACATATTGACTGTTGAGACATTCCTGGAAATAGAACTTACGCCTTCAAAACTGTGACATTTCAACAACGTATCACTTGGTCACCTTAAAGTTGCAATTTCATATTTTTGAGTTATATTTTTAAAATCTATTAAAATAAAGCCTGAAAATAGATGGTATCTATAAACAGTTCTAACTTGTTAAAGAATAATCCTATTAATTCTATAGGAGCCACGGTGGCTAGGTGGTTAAGACGCTGGCTCACTAGCCTGGAGGTCGGGTGTTCGATCCCTGCATTGGCCGAGAAAGTTCATGTGGATTTTCCGACGTGTTTTCCCCTTATCAGAACGGAGGGCCTGACAAGGACAGCTGTCTAGTCCTTCGGATGAGACGAAAAACCCAGGTCCCGTGTATACATTAGAATGCACGTAAAAGATCCCTTGGCAGTTGGAATTCGATATAAGAGTAGGCGATAGTGCCGCTGCCCGGGCACAATTTCCCGCATAGCACACTGTATGGCGTATGCCCGTCTTCATTAGCCCAGTATAGGAGTAGGACGTTAAACCCCATTTTATTTCTATTAATCCTATAATTCACTATTGCCAGTTGAGAAATTGGCAAAAATATCATTTTCATCTTCAAATTCAAACGTTTGAAGATAACTACTCCATGGTGGAGAATAGAAAACAAGGGAGGTAATTGTGTTATTATTTCCGGTGTAAATGAGTTTTTTTAAGTGTGAGAATGACACCTATGATCGTATAATAGTGAGTTGACAACCTATTGAGCAAAGGACATAGAAATAATTATGTTTTGACTTTCTTAGAAAATATGAAATTGTAACTTTAAGTGTTGAATAGTGGTTCTTAGATGAATTTACTGTATCGGTTTACTTTGAACAAATCATACTTCAGCTGCAAGCTGAGATTTTCTAGTCGCAAAACAATACAGCATGAAATATTAATCCTGTTGTACAGATGGGCAAATTTTCAACTACGTCCTTTTTTAAAACGATATTATTCATATGGACAATTTAATTGTCATAGTTTACCTTTTTTTCCAGCTGTGATTTGGATGGATGTCAAGCGGCAGTTTATGGTACCGGGAACTCGACTGGAAATGGAAGTTGAATAGGGAAATTCTAGATTGGCAATAACAGGTTTATGTTTTTTCTGTATGTATTGTATATATTTTCTAAATTTTCATGGGTCCGTCTGATAGGTACAGTAAAGGACATTCTGTTGACTAGTTTGAAACACATCTTAAAATGGGGACCCCTTGGAAACACTGACTTTTAGTTAGGCTTGAGGTGTAAAACTACTTGAGGGACCGAGTCTGTCTGTTATGTCTAGGGTAACATGTCATAACTTCAACAACAACGATCACACCGAAGATGTTTACCTCTATCGGGAGAAAACACACCGACGACCAGATGGGACGGACAGTTTCTTCATACATACACAAAATAAACACCATAACTTCATCAACAAAGATCACACCGAATATGTTTATCTCTATCGGAGAAAACACCGACTGTCAGATGGGACGGACAGTTTCTTCATACATACACAACATAAACACCATAACTTCAACAACAAAGATCACACTGAAGATGTTTATCTCTATTGGCAGAAAACACACCGACGGTCAGATGGGACGGTCACACAATTATAAGACAGACCATAACTCAAGGGTTATGACATTGTTAATCTTAACAAGATTCTGGATGAAATATATTACAAACTTCTGTCTCGCTTCTACGAAGTTTTCCGTTTTCCGTCGATTCTGGTGTGCACACCCCATTCATTGGACTTCGACGGGGGCAGTTATCTTTGAAGACTTGTAATTGGCCACCCAGTTATCTCTAATAGTTAGTTTACTATTATATCTTATAGCTATATAGGCAGTTCGCTTCGTTTCTCTAGAACATTACATTTGGGCTTGTTTCATCATGTAGAGTTTGAACCGATATCTTCACTAAAAGTCTATCAAATCACTTCTCTATGTAAAGGTGTGTCCAAGACTTGTTAGCAGGTGTTCCTTTACTGTAACATTTTGATTCACAAATTGATGGGGTTCGTTTGCAATTTGGATTTAACTATTGTTATATATCACCAACGGTCATCAATTTATCTAAATAAGCTTGTTATTTCCATCAATTTATCTAAATAAGCTTGTTATTGCCAAACTAGTATTTTTCTAATGAAGTCGTCTACAGATGTCTACTGTTATTATTGTTTATTTATATTATATTCATGATTATTTTTATTTACAATGTAAGGTCAGTAGTGAGTAAACACTTCCAGTTGATCAGAGCACTTGGGAAAATCCTACCTCCCCCTTCCTAAATGGGAGTTAGGGTTGGGTAGCCGGCTCGCAATACTGACCATTGATGTTATGATACTAATTTTTATACATTTTGGAAACATTATTTAATTTTTATGCTCCCATATTTTCAGGCCAAAGGTTAAAATTCTATTTTTCACTTTCTAAACTTGGAACATAAAACTTGATGGGTTTTTAAATGAGGTCAAATAACGATTATTTCAAACTTGGACACCCCAATATGATTTTGTGTTTGGCAGGGAGGGGAGGAAAGGGATGTTATGTCAGACCCATAAGATGTTTTAATTTATATTTATATTTCACTGATATTACTCTTGGGACAATATCATCGACATATGATTTTTCTTTATTATCATAATGATTATCTTATGTTAAATTAATACACATTATAAAGGTTGTTATTTTGTACCCCCATATTAAACATTATTTATGCCTGTAGATCTGTGATGCTACATGTCAAACTTCTAAATTTTCCATTTTTTTAAACTTGGAACAAACCTTTATGGGAATTTGAACGGGGTAAAAATATTTCGAAAGTTTCGGCATACCAAAATGATGTGAGGGTGGTGGGTGGATCGTGACCGCCAGATCGTCATGCTATAGGTCAACATTCTAAATTTTCTTTTTTTTCCTAAACTTGGAACATAAACCTTTATGGGAATTAGAACGGGTCAAAATTATTTCGAAATTTTCGACATACCAACATGTAGTAGTGGGTGCGGGGTGGTTATGTTTTTAGGAGCAACCGCATTTCATAGCTTTTAAAATATTGTTTAATATGGACCAATTGATAATTTATCAGTTAAAAGAGATTATATTATTGTATTGTTTGTTAATTAATTAAATACTGATAGATGTAGTTAAAAATCATTTACAAATAAAATATTTCACCATCACTGTGGTTTGGATCTGATAGGGTGGGAGAACACTAGCCTTGTAATTTTGCTGTGAAATGTTGAACAAGCCGGCGGTAGATGAAAAACTGAGCTGCAGAATAAGCTTGTGAAATCAATGTTCAGGGAAGTGACGATTATCATGGAAGAAACATGATTCTTATTAATTTGAGATAACAATTTCATAGATAACAAGGTTTTAGTTTTGGAGTATAGCACATTTAATGTAAAGAACGAGAGTTGTTTTAACTTGGATCCTTCCAGCTGCAAAGTGTTCCATTTTAATCCACCCGAACTAGGCATATCTCTATATCGGCCCCTCAGATGCCCCTCTGCCCAATTTGTTGCACTATTTCATGGCTGTTCTGATGAAGACATTGTTACATCTATTGCACGAAAAAACGTCGGGTTAATCAACGAAAATTAATGTAAGAGAGAAGTTGTCAGTTCATGACTAACGTGGTTTTGGTTATTCTCATTTGATCATAAGGTCTGTCATTTAAGTCAATGTTGCGGTATCGATTTCCCGCTTGTGTATGACAAGGGGTAGGTTGCCTGTCCAACCTCATGGGTTTTCTACGGGTCATCCGGTTTCCTCCCACTGCTAAAAATCCATAAGCGCAAGCGAATTATTGAAATAAAATTGAACCATGTGTTTGTCTCGAAATGACCTAGTTTGTGTCAAGTGTACTGTTAAACCCCATTTCTCTCTTCCTACTGTTAAAGACCCTATGTGAACGCTCTAATGACAAAACTTATCATCCGATCTGTATGAAATTTTTATGCATTATTTAATTTAGTGAAATGAAGAATCCTATTGAATTTCAGCAATTTCTGTTAATTATGTCTAAGAGTTATGGCCCTTGATCACTTTGAAATATCTTGTGGATGCTCTAGACGAAGAAACCTATTGCTTTTCAATGATTTCGATAATTACTGCCAGAGTTATGGCCCTTGATCACTTTGAAAAATCGTGTGGATACTTTAGAGACCATAGTTATCATAATATATATATATATATATATAATTGTTTCGATTGATCCACAGAGTTTAAGGTCTTGAGACGAACAAGTATATTGATTTTCAATGATTTTGGTAACTTGAACAGCTAAATCCATGGTATTAAATGTTTTGTATACTAAATGTTAGCATGGGTCAAACAAATTCTAATGATTTACTTAATGAGTTAATTGTTACTCTTAATCAGATTTTAGTGTATTATAAATGTTTCATTACCAACATGACTGCCCGGACGATTTAGATGCTGTGGCCGTATGTTTCGTTGCCTAGCAACCTACCTTTGATTTAGCGTGGACGTTCCTTTGTTTACTGAAACCATCGAATCCGGATGCTGAAAACTTTGAGGTGCGATAACTCGATAATGCAACATAGAAAGTTCATAAACTTTGGCATGTTTTTTTTTTTATAAACAATATTTTATTCACAGAAAAGGATGGAGGAACAGGCTAGGCCTATATTACCTCTTTCCTATATGACAGAAAATATATACAAAAAGACTATATAACCATGTTATGATAAAATCAATCTAAATAGTATAAGAATAAAAGAATAAAATGAACAAAAAAAAGGGGGGGGGGGGCCTATGAACATATTTACAATTTCAGGTTTGCCATATTCATATATTTAGCTACTGGATTCATTTTTATTTAAACCTTCCGGAGATGTCTAGAAATCTATGGACTTGTTCAAAGATAATACTTGAAATAATAATATCGTCAGTGCCTTTTAATAATGTCTGTATTGAAATCACGTTTTGGGGTAAGGTAAAAATTGAATGTTTACGTGCATCGCGATGTAGAGGACAGGTTAAAAGGTAATGTTCGGTATCTTCAAAATCATGACCGCAAGCGCATACAGGGCTGTCTGAGATGTGCCTTAAGAACTTATGACCATTTAAGTCACTACAGGAAAAGCGAAGTCGACAATCTAAAATCTGATTTTTTGTTTTTCCTGAACTAAAGTATGATGGCGCTTGTGTGTCAAATTGTTTCAATTTACTTTTAATTATACTGATAGAGGGAGATGATTTTATAAAGTCAGAAAGTCGGTTCCATTCCTTAATCGTAGATGGTATATATGATTTCGAAAATAAAGATGTTCTACAAAAGTACTCTGATAAATTAGATTTGTTACGAGGGTTATAAGGCTTTTCCTGGAATAATGTAAGTTCGTGAAGATATGGTGGTGTACGATGATTCATAATTTTGTAAAAGAGTATAAGTTTATGACGCCTTCGCCTCTCCTGTAGTGTGATAAAACCGGTTTCCTCGTATAAAAGTCTATGGCTGGTCCCCCTAACAGCACCACATATAGTCCTGAGTGCGTCAAGTTGTAATGATTCTAGTTTGTTAGTAAGTTCGTCGGTGCACCCATCCCATATGACATCACAATAGTCGAAATATATGATATGTACAATGTTTTCAAAGAATTTCTATTTAGTCTGTAATTCAGAGAGCGGAGAACGTTTGTAAGCCTAGAACTTTTCGTCAAGATATTGTCGATATGTCTATCAAATTTACAGTCATTTTGAAAAGCCCCAAATGTTTGTGCTCGAATACTTCCTTTATTGCAGTGTGGTCTAGTGAGAATGTTGGCAATATTGAGTCCTTTTTACTAGATACTGTAAGTGTTTCAGTTTTCAGTGGGTTGAATGAGACCAGCCAAGTCTTTGCCCATGTATTGATCTTATCTAGGTCTTCATTAAGGACAGCCACGCATGCAGTCATGGATTCTCAAGTACAAGCTGGTATCATCTGCAAATAATCTAGCATTAGAATTAAGGGTTTCAACGATATCATTTATATAAATACGTATGTTAATATTAGTCATCTGTCGATGTGGACATATAAAAATCGTCGAGCCACCAAAGCTAGTTTAGAAGAATATGTATGTACAGTAAGCCTGCACTAACCCTATTTTATGATATTATTGATATGTTTACGGTAATGTATTTCGAAAATTCAACATAGGCTTCTGAAAGTGTGCAGTCTAGTAGTTGATTCTGTGAAATAAATAACATTTTGCCACCCAGGTTTATTTAGTTGGTTTTGGTGCAGTCTGGACGTAGCCTTTGATTAATAAACCCAACAAGTTTGTCATAAAAACTTTGCAGTGATATCTATGTATGTATGTTCATATTTAGGGGGCAGGGATATGTTTCTGTTTAGATCTCTAATATTACAGTCAATCCAACTGATTTGCAATTTTTCTGTTTGCATATTGTCCAAAGTTTTTCAAAATATAGTTCTTGCAAGTCTGGATATCTCTGTAAAAGATGACTGCCTTTAAAACGTGCCGTCACAGCACGCGGCGTCAATCATTGGCTGAACGGCACGTGCATTGTTTACATAAGACGTTACTGCTTCGGGCAGTATGCTGCCTTTTAGTCATTTTAATACCCATTTATACTAAATAGGAAATAATTTTTACCTACAAATACGTCAAACGTCTTTATTTATTTTTCTAATACATCAAAAAAATGTTTTAGAATTTAATTTGTCGGTTTTTAGTTTTTCTCTCCCTTTCCCTTTTTCCCCCATTCACATGGCGATTTTTTTTGACTTTTTGGTGTAGAATCGAAGAAAAGGGTTTGAAAATATATTTTCTGCCAGGTTTTGGCGAATATTCATGATTTTGAGGCGGAAGGATACAAGGGTTGAGAGGTTGGTTAGGTTGAAATGTAGGTTCCAAATTGCATGTTTTTTTGTCTTTACTTCCAGCTTGTGTATCTCAAGTTTTCCATGGTGAAACCCATACGTGCTTTTGGGCAAGAAGTTGCCACATGTTGCTCCATCTGTGGTAGAAAGCGTTCTACCCAACGAAAATTTGGGAAAAAGTTAGAGCCGGTCTAAGAGACAAGAATTAACATTAAAGTCAATGGGGAAATCATTAGTGATCTGTGGCCATATGAAGGGACGTAACAAAACAGAGTTGTCTCCCTTGTAGCGGGTGCTCCTTTCTAGTCACACAATTTGACATTTATAACGAAATGAAATGAAATGAAATGGGGATTAACGTCCTACTGCTCTGCTCCTAAACTGGGCTAATGAAGACGGGTATACGCCATACAGTGTGCTATGAGACATGTATAACCTAACGTGTTGAATGAAACAGGAACATGATGTTGGGGGGGGGGGGGGTCACATATAATTCAATATTTTAAAATTTTATCCCATTTGTTTTTTTGTTGTTTTTGGGTTTTTTTCAAACTAAACATTCCGGTGTTTAAATATTTTCCAATCTGATTAAAATACGAATCTATATTTCGTTTCGTTTTTTCGAAGGCCTGCAGAAGAGTAAAACGAAATTTTGAACTATAAAAAAACGAAACGAAATAGGAACTGTGTTCTAACCAGATTTAATATTTTCAAAATGAATTCCGGTGATTATCGGTGTTTTTAAGTAATTCAATGTTACTAATCATGCAGAATATAAGTAAACAGGAAGATCTCGCGGGCGAATTCTGATATCTTCAAAGTGAATTCCGGTGTTTATAAGTGAATTCCGGTGTGCTTATGTGTTTCTGGTGAATTCCTGTGATTAATCTACCCGTTTTTAGGCCACCGGAAGTTGTACCTTGTTAGACGTAAACTGTTAAATTTGTAAGAATTTGTGGCTTCTTTTAATGCTAAAGTAATCAAGGTTTTAGCCATACAAAGCAGAGGTAAGTAACCTAACAATTTCACGACGGGTTTAAATATATACTTTTCATATAGGCAAAAAGGTAGCATAAGATGTTTCGTGTTGAAATAGGTAGATCTCGAAACTGTTATCATGATGTTAACCCTAACCCTAGATTTATTACAATTAGTGAAAAAAATTATCCCAGTTCTCATAGTAGGTACTCAAATGGACAGGCCAAACTGTCAACAGATGTATAAGAGCATCAGATTAGAGTTTAGACACTTTTTTTTATTCACAGTGTAGATAGTAATATGTAACAGGCATTGCCTGAGTAGAGCAAAGCTGATTTTTGTCAAATATAAAACCTCAGGCTCAATCCATGACAATGATTCATAATTTAGTTTATAAAAAAATGTGAGAATTATATTATTTTGATTAATTTGGTTAGATGCACAATCTCCATTCGGCAAACCCTGACAGATTCCAGTACCCTACATCTAACGTTTGGCTGCAGTGCATGACAGTAAGTGATATGTAGCTACGAGAATGTAGCCATCTTAAAAATAGGTTAATTTTATACTATTAGTACTTATTACACATACGCAGTCCAATCTACTGAAACAACATTCATTTATCAGCAAATATTGACAATAAAGTAAATCAAGCGTTGTTTTTATCAAAATTGATTCTGACGTTCATAAATACGCTTATTACTACTGCGCAACTCTGATCAGATTTGTGCTTTGATTGGCTATTGCACACAAGGCCCCGCCTTTATGTGTTACAGACGTAAATTTAAAATGTCGGAAAAAACAATCTACTGTCCCTTTGATTTAAAAAGAGGGGATTTGTACCCGTTTCAGGTAGGCTTATATGCTTAATTGTAGTTGGGTGTGGCAGAAATATTATAAATAACGATAATCAATCATTGTTTTGATGGAAAATATTGTTTACTAATGCCGGATGCGAATCGCTCCCACATTTGCTACGTTGAAGTTAGTAGGACCAACTGTAATCTTGAAACACGGAGGGTTGAGAGATGAGTTTTGTTATCTAAGTGATATGTAGTTCATTACTACACTCGCCCTGTTGAAACAAAACTGGATTTTCGAAAAAATTTGATTGTAATTGGTCTAGGCAAAGCAATAAATACCTGAAGATTCTGAACTTTTCGTCTTATATGGCCGAGTTACGTAAATTTGTCCTTTGCCCTATATTTAGATTTCAATGGCTTCTGCCAAGCCGTTTAGCTGAAGGGGACGTATTTTTAACAGCATGTTGTGTTGCACATACTGACACTAGCGAGATAAGCAAGGTCTTATTTTCTCAATAAAATGTTCCTTTACATTGTACAGGTGTTCAAAGGGACTGACATGCAACCGTTTAGCAGTAAACAAATTGTCCCAAATTAACTGAGAGCTGAAACGTTTTTGACAAGGATTCAAAGGGCGGCGGTTCCTGAGCGTACAGGGGGTGTGTAATAAGACCTGCGTTTAGAGCTGAACTAGCTACACCCATACAATTGTGATGCAGCTACAGGTTTAGTGTGTAGAGTTTTCATTGCAAAATTCTTCTTTGTTTAAAGAAAATCAGATAAACTTAAATAACTTCAGACATTGAAAGCTTTGTATGATAAAACTAAAACACTCTTCACAGTAGTTCCACTGGAAAAAACTCGTCATACAGCAGGAGTTAGAGTTAGTAATGGTCCGATAATCAGTTTCAACATCGATAATTGGCCGATAAATGGCCTATCGGTATAGGCTGATACTCAGCCATATTGCCGATACTGGAGTCACCGATATCTGTTCAAAAGGATTCGGTAAATAACTTTAAAATATTATTCAATCGAGTTTTGAATAATTAAATCTTTATTTTACCGACACTCAGTACTTCTATTTTAGTTGCCGTGCATGTGACTATTTAGACATAAAACAGTACTCTCATAGATGCTGTAAAAGTAAGTAAGGATTTAACAGGGTAAAATCCTTACCAGTCTACGTTATTTTTTAAATCCTTATTCACACATTGTTTAAGAGTTCTGTGTTTCTTTTAGAAATACCATTTCTGTGTAAACAGACATAAACGTACAACAATCTAGCTGAGTCCTCCCGAAAAAACATCTGATTGGAATATGGAAAAAAACGCTGATGTGCAATAGTTCCAAACCTAACTAATGCACGATATATTTTTTTTCTTCGTTTTATCTAATTCACTATGGTCGGTATTGGTATTTTCTGCACACTGTCATGATATGTAGAAGTTTTAGAAAAGGCGGGAAAATATCGCATTATTTACGCATGATTGGGATGAGGGGGGGGGGGGGGGCGGGGATAATATCATGTGATGCCACTATTGACAGACGGGAAGCTATTGCTTTGATGTCGTATCATTACCACATGAACATTCTGACCTGTTATAGACATACAGGTGACGACAAATTTGTGGAATTATATCGTAGTATACATTTATTTATTATTCATACAGCAAGTAATTTTAGTTCACAAAAGATGGAGTGTATTTTTGACTGCAGAGGAAATGTGATCCAACACATCCATTTTTTTTTCCATCAAATAACATTTCGTTACTGTTTATTTCCCGAGGTAAAATAGTACCAGGGGTTTCCCGACTAATAATGGCATATATCTACATCAATTATCATGAATTTGTTGGCCGATATATTTCGCTGTTAATATCTGATATTGGTAAAACCAATAATAGCCATATCAGACCATCATTACTTTGCTCTATATTAAAGATACATTATGGGAGATTCGATAACGAGTTGGCAGTTCTCACTATAATAGTTAAAAACTAGATAACGTAAATGCAATTTGCTGAAAATTTCATTCAAATTGATCCACTATGAACCGAGAACTAAGCGATTGAAATTTCCGCCTAGCCTCAATCATCATTATTAAAGTCAGTACAATAAACAGCATATTCTTGATTATCCATTTAATCGTTAAATCGTGAAGAAAAGTTATGCAGTAAATCGGCTCATAATCCACTAAAGATCGCAGGCTAGCGATGCCATCTAGAGTTGATTATGGTCTGGATAGGTTAATTAATATCTAATTAATAATTTAGATAATATTTCAGGCCTAATGAAAGACCTGCAATAGACAGATTTAGCTCTTGCATAATGTATGTTTAAGTTAATAAAAAATGGTATGAATTGAGGGCATGAAATAGATGGACTAAACCAGTTCGATTTCTATAGTGCCAGTGGTATCAATCTGTTGTTTATTAATAATACATGTACAGTAGAGGTATCGTTATATAAACAATCCAAGATTTGATTTATCATGTTGATTCACTACTATTTTTCGCTACATGTATGTGCAGAAGGATTTCACCTACAAAACATACATGTACAAGACAAAGCTAAGAGTAAAACACCTTGTTTTCAATAAATAACAAATATACATGTATCAAAATTTAGGTGATGAAAGTCACATCTAATTACAGCCAACAGTCAACAATGTCAACTGGTAGTAAGCGGATATTTCAGTAGAGCAATAAGCATTGCAGTCCGTATACCCTCATATTGCAGTCATTGTACCCTCGAAGTTTATTGCTTGCCAAAATAATTTAACTTGTCAAGATCAAGGGTCTAAATGTTTCATAGATTAAATATCCAGAATTATATACATTTATTGTTACAATTGGATCTCCTGGTCAAAGTTACCCATAACCGCAGAGTTTATTGAGGAAAGAGCCCTTCGCAGAGGGATGATTCAGGTAAACATTAATATAAGGCCACAACAAAGCACCCACTCTTCAGGTCTGGTCCACTAGTAAGCGTACAACAAATTAAAGAAATAGTATCATTTGGTCAGTCTGCACTTGATCAGCAAATCAGATCCTAATCCAGTAAATATCACAGACTAGCGATGACATCAAGAGTTGATTATGGTCTCGATAAGTTAATAAATGTCTAATAGTTTATATAACATTTCAGGCCTAAAGAAAGACCTATAATAGGTAGATTTAGCGCTTGCATAATGTATGTTTAAGCTAGCTTACGAGTAAATATACAGGTTTTTATTTCTGAAATCACTGTACTGTATCTTACATCCATGAATTTTTGATTTCCATGAAACAACATTATTTTATAATAACTGACAACTTTATGGATAACATTCACTAGCTTTATTAACTGCAACATTTCAATGAGGATAATCTCACCGTTATCAAAGAATATATATATATATATTGCTTTCACTAAATGTCCTTTAAAGATAATCTTTAAGTGGCATTTAGCGATTGGAAAACACATTAATAGAACACAATTTTTATGGGAAACAATCACTGGTTTATACTAAAAGCACGACGTTTCGACAAGTATCCTCTTATCGTTTGTCGAAACGTCGTGCTTTTAGAATAAACCAGTGATTGTTTCCCATAAAAATTGTGTTCTATTAATCCTTTAAAGATAACATTATTTTAATAATTTAATTAGATGGTTTAATTATATGTACATATATACATGTAGGAATGTTGAGTGGTGTGTAGTATATGTATATGCATATATTTAATTACCATGCTTAAGTGCACATGTAATTAAGGCTTTACATGATCAAAATATTTTAACTACAATTCACATATTAGAAAATTAACCTACAACATTGTTTGTAAGTGGTTAATTATTACTCAGCTAGTTGGTATATAATTTATATTGTATACTAATTACTGTTATTATATTCATATGCTATGAATATTTGATATGTATACATGTACACACATGTTTGACAAGAAAAACAATCTACATATTTTAAGCTAGCGCTTTCAGTTCCATCGAAACCTCTTCAGGCTTTAACATACATATAGAGTGTCAATATGCATATTCATAGTATAATAAATACATGTAGTTTAGTTTTGTTTGTAAATTAAAAATCGGAACCACATAACAATAATCCAGGCCCGTAGCCATCTTGCTGGATGCGGTTGGCAGTAAACATTATGGAGTAGGGGGAAGGGGGGGGTGTCTCCAAAAGCCTAATTGTATAAAAGATCACCTTTTAGCTTGTTTTCTGTCCATCTCTTACAAAATGTGGGCATATCTTGCAGGGCAACAGCTTGTAATGGAGAATGAAGATTTATAGTTACAAAGTTTTACATTTATCAGCAAGACATTTTGTACATGTAATAATAATAGCCTGTGGGTAATGGCGATCAGTGAATATGATTGTCTTTCGATTGTACAATTTGTTTTGATAAATTTACAGAATTTCATTGATTGTGTTTAGGGTTTAATTGCTGGAGGCATGTTGTATAGCTATGTATTATTACGTTTAGTATCGAGTGACATCATCTATATAAATGTAGCATCAATAACATTAAGTAAGATTATATTAATAGGTTAGGTAATTTATGAGAGGTTTTGAAATGGAAGAGAGCAATAACCGGTTCACCAACTTCACGTTTCTTGATCAGTATATACCCCACTCAATTATTGTGGGTTTTTCAAGTTTAAAAACATATATTTGGAATTAAAAGCTTTTGAGAAGATAAACTAAGTACTGGTACTTTTGGTTTATAAATTAATTTCTTTGCCTGAAGAAATTAGAGGCCAAATTCTTAATAGGTTTTCCTGAAGAAATTCAAATTGGTGTGGCTTTAATGTGTGCAATATACTAAGGTGTTTCAAGGTAACCATTGAATAATATAAAAATATATACATGTAAAATTTTGATTATTGTACAATTGTGAAAGATGAATTTTCCAGATTGTGATTTAAACGAGCGGTTATTGATTTCTGTATTTGACTGGGCAGATGTAAACAACACTCCTTAATTTGCTCAAATCCAAAACAGCTTTTCACTTGTAATGGGCTCAACAAAACACTCTATAGATTCAGGCTTGATTAAGCCCATTAAAAGTGAATGACTACATGTAGGCATATCGGACATAATTCATACGATCAAATTGATGAGATTTCAAATTGATGATATTTGTAGTAAAGCCATGATATATGTATAGTGAGGAGATTAGTTTTTATTTTCTGTTTACAACACAATTAGACTTGTAAAAGTTCTCTAGACTACTATACTAAACAGCAAAAAAAACATCAGTACGATTTCAAAATCAGAGAGGCACTTTAATCAAATCATTCTAGAAAACGACTTACTAAATGGATCAAAGCAATTTTTTGTAAACAGTATGTTGACACATTAGTGATTAATTCATCACAATTCCAAGACATTTTGAGAAGGTTTAGAGTCTGTACACAGTCTATACATCAGTATCTGGTGTGTCCACCGCGAGTGTCAATGACAGCAGCGCAGCGTCTGTACATGGAGTGGACCAGACGATTGATGGAACCACACACTCAGAAAAGCCTGGCGCAATCCATCGGCTGTGTTTGGTCTCGGTACAACGTTATTAAGCCTCCTCCGAATTTCATCCCAAAGATGTTCAATTGGGTTTAAGATCAGACTAAGGGATGGCCAGTGGATAACATTGACACCGTTCTGCTGTAGAAAGTCCCGAGTAACTCTGGCTAGGGCGTTGTCATGCTGGAAAACGTTGTTTCGATGACGTGCGAAATGTGGTATGACGTGGGGTCTTAGAGCTTGATCGATGTAGCGCAATGCTGTGATGCCGCCTCCTCTCCCTGGACCAAGATTTTGGAACACCACAGGACCCACTTTCTGGTTCAGGCCGATTCCACCGCAAATCATTATGCTTGGACCTCCCCATGAGTCTCGTTCCATGACACATTGGTCAGAATAACACTGACCACATCGATGCCATATTCTCGTCCTGTCATCTGCAGTTAATGCGCAATACCGACTCTCATCTGTGAACAGAACAGTTCTCCATTGCCTGTGTCGTCAGTTCTGGTGTTGTTGGGCAAACTGTAGATGTTCACGTCGATGGCGTGGGGTGAGGATCGGTCCACGGTAAGGTCTACAGCAATGGATGTTCTCTCTGGTCAGTCGACGGCACGCTGTATCGGTACTGGTGGGTCTTCCATCTGTTCTCACTGTCTGTCATGCTGTCTCAGATGCCTGTGTGAGGGGATTCTCCACGTGCTGTCGCACAATATGACGGTCCTGTTGCCTTGTGGTATCCCTTGATCTACCAGTTTGGGGGCAATCATTCGTGGTGTTGGTGGCCCGAAAGCATTGCTGCAGCCTGTAGATGGTCCGAACATTGACCTGGAAGTTATTAGCAACGGCTTGGGCACTGTTTCCAGCATCGAGTTTTCCAAGTGCCTGGGTCCTCTGTGAGCTGCCGTGAGTCATGACATCCTGCTACTGTAGTGTGAATGATTCAACCAGATATATTGTGGATGGATTTTATAGGGCCGGTCATGGATGGGAGTAATCATTGGCTCGCTAACCTGGAGGTCTTGTGTTTGATCCCAGTATTGGCCGAGAAAGTTCACCAGGATTTTACGGCGTGGCTCCCTGTTGGCAGAAATGAAGGACCTAGGTCCTAGCATGGGACAATGTATAGTGGTTCGGATCGGACGAATGATGGAGGTCACATGTACACATTGGTGTGCACGTAAAAGATCCCTTAGCAGATAGCAGTTGGAATAATCGACTCTCTAGTTCATCGAATGGCTGAGATATAAAGTTGATAAGACAATGTCTGCCATATACATGTATTCATTAAAATAGAAAATCAGATTTTGTTTATTATCGTTGCTATGGTTTTTGTCAATCAGATTTTGTTTATTATCGTTGGTATGGTTTTTGTCAATCAGGATGAATTAGGACATATCTTGTTTTTGTCAAAACTGCAAAATTCCTAGCTCAGAATAATCTACTTTTAAACTATTATATTACCTCTTTATCTAAATCTTAAATACCGCATCTTTGATTAAATGGAATAATTTATGTAACTTTGAATGTATTTTATCAAAGGATTGAATCTGGAATAAACTTTATAATTACAGGTGAATTAAGTTAAAGGGTGACTCAGTTTAAGGCTGACTAATTACATCGTTAGATGGAGTCAAACAGGTAGAAATAAAACAACTATGGCCTCTCAGGTGAGTGCTTTTAATTCATTTTTATTTGTTGCATTCTTTAAATGCCAAGATGTCCCCTTATTTGTGTAGAAGCATTCTATTCATGATCAATTACAGCTTCCCATGGTTGAATTGAATGTATATTGTCCTAGCCCCCGTCTGTCCATCCGTTCACATTTTGTTTGTGGATGTATATCAAGTCGGTGCCCCTGTCTGTACACAATTTGTTTGTGAACACCCTACAGGTCAAAATTCTTATCTGATTTTGATGAAATTTGAAATATAGGTTTATCTCCAACAGATCTCGGATCCTTTTGATATTGGCATGTATTGGATCGTACATGTAATTTCATGGATTATGGCCTCTGATTGTACGGAAAATCATATCTCTTAACTAGAAGTCACAATTTTTGTCTGATTTTGATGAAACTTAAAATATATGTTTATATGTCTAAGTTCTCGGTTCCTTTTAATATTCGTGCATATCATATCCTATCTGCCTGGATTATGGCCCCTGATTGTACAAAAAATTCAGATATAACTTGTGGACCCTCTAGCGGTAACAGTTTTTATCCGATTTTAAAAAACATTTAAATATAACAGTTTTACAACCTGATGAAGGTTTAGTTCAAATTTATTGAAAATCAGACCGAAACTGCCCGACAAAATGGCCACTCCTTGTACGCAAATAGTGTAAAAGTATGTACTACTAATAAAAAGGTTGTGGAACCTCAAGAGGTCAGAATTTGATGAAACTTAAATTATATGTTTATACCCAGAGATTTTGATTCCTTTTGATATTCATGCATATCAGACCATCACTTCCTGGATTATGTCCCCTGATTGTACAAAAAATTGCTTTTTATTTTAGCTTGTTTTTTGTCCTTCTCTTGGAAACTGTAGGCTTACATGTATCTTGCATGACAACCGCTTGTTTGTGTAGATGCAGCATATTAACAAAGTGTATTCAACATATGGAAATTGACCACCATTAAATTTCACCCTCTCAGTACCCACAAATTGTAGGTCGTCAGAGTAGACCCTAGCGCCGCTGCCCGGGCAAAATTTCCCTCATAGTATGGTACTGTGATATGTACGGCGAATACTTAAATATGTTTTTAGTATGCTACTTAAAGTTTGTGTATCTCAAAGTTTTGGTGATCAACCTCATACAAATTTGGATGCAAAGCATTCACTCCAAACAAAACTTTTGGGAAAAGTTAGAGCCTGGCAAAGGGACAGAATTAAAATTGAAGTTAATGGGTTAATTAATGGTGGATGAGAGGCCTAAATTTGATGAGATGGTCTCAAAATTGTCAGAAAATATAATATATGACTTTTGAGAATAAAAAGAGTGAAAAGGTAAAATTTCAAAAATATTTTACAGATTTGTGAGGGTAATCTTTGATTTTAGCCCAAATTTTGTGATTTTCAGTGTTTATTTACATTTCAATATTAGTGTAAAATATTGTATAATTTATACTTTTTCTGCATCAGAAGAAAATATCATAATTACACTTAATATTGCCTAAAAATCATTACAAGTTGTCAGAAATTCGTCAGGTTACCCCCAATATTGCTGTTAAAATTTAATTTTGGTTAAAATGAACCAAAATGTCTTGCATGTCTTTATTTCCATTGTTAAATAATTTGCTTAGTATCCATGTGTTTGTCAGATATTGAAAATACATCAATATTTTCACAGAAATTTAATCTAATTATTATGTACTGCTGAGTTATGTTAGAATTTTCAAAACATGTGTGAACTGTATTTTGCTGCTGTGTTTCTTTGGCTTAACACAGTTTTAATTTTAAAACCTGAAATTGTTGCATTTCCCTCCTCGAGAAAGTAAAATCTATGTGTTTGCAGATAAATGTCTCTGTCTTGATTTGATTTAGACTGGCTCACCTACCCCACCTGTTTCTTGAACATCATATTAGAACTTAAATTAGTCCCTTTTATCTTGTTTTTGTATATCATAACCTCATTGTGTCATAGGCCTTTGATTTTGTTGTTGTCATGTATGGTTTCAGCCTTGTTATTGTCATTTTGTCTATATATATTGCTTCAAATTTTGTTATATTGTATTAGCTTGTAAACGTTGAGAGAATACTCTTCGAAACATTGCCTAAATAAATCAGTAGCTGTTTTCCATAAGTATGTTTATAGTTTATCAAATTAGGAGATTTAATTGAAGATATATTGACTTTAAACTAGCAATTAGCAATAATTGGATTTTGTGCTTGAATTATAACTTGGCATTTTATTTTGCACCAACAAATAGTTACTTTTAAGATTTCAAGGATTTCTAATGACTAGGTAGAAATGCTGCTGTTTGGACAAAATTCTCCTATTTAACATAACTAAATGACCAAAGTATTCTGTTGATAACACATGTACACACAATTTCATTCCATTTGCCACACATGGAGCTGCTGTCCCTCATAGCACTCTCTGTATGAGTTATAACATTAGCCCAGTCGACTGTATAAGTTATAACATTAGCCCAGTCGAAGCAGAACATAAGGATGTTAAACCTCATTTCATTTTCATCATCTCACCTGACTTATTAATGTATTTAACCGATGTACAAGCAAAGTCTATCACCCCTGGTGGAAGTGGACCTAAAACTTTACGAACCAACGAACCAACGAAACTATATCATAAAATACAATAAGAAGTCATGAAATAAAATAAAATGTGGTTTAATGAAGACAAGATACTTTTATACCACTGGTACTTGACATAAATATCACTTTATTCTTACTCATTATATCTCAAGTAGAAAATATTATTAATCTATTGATGTGTTGCCAGGATTATGTCTTCAAAGGGTCGTATTATTTCAGAAATGAAATAGGATTTTTTAACGTCTTACTTTTCTGCACTAACTGGGCTGATCAACAAAAAATAAAAATTGTCACTGAAGTGGTGGAATGATGATAAACATGGTGTTGATTATCTAGAAAAGTAGAAATTTAAAGTATCTATGTCGCATATACAAGACCACTCCTTAAAAGACATTAAAGGGGGATAACTTTGTATGGCTTTTCACTTGTTATTCATCCTCAGATGTGTGAGAAAAGAACTTAATATACTTGTTAAATTGAACCTGGGAGAATAGTCAAGATTTATGCTATAGAGTTCTTTAAAAAACGAAAATCAATGGTGACAACTTGAAATGACCAAGGTAAATTTTACAAAAAATTTCAACCCCTAATTGTCGACTTTTTATAAAGGTCTGTAGTGTTTTTGAAGTAAATCATTTATTGGTGAACAAAACTTTGATGTACCGGTACACTAGAGGTGATTAGATATTACAGTATATAGTAATCTCCCTTACTCAACTAAAACTCTGAACATTGTTTATTTTAGTCAATTGAAATGGTTTGGATGAGGATGGTGTTTAAAGTCTCCTCAACACATTACTTGGTCATTTTGGGACTAACAAATGGGATATATGGTTAGTGTCAACACAATACATTGGTCATTTTACATTGTGTACAGTTTGCTCTTCGTAATCTTGGCATTATAGCTGTCATTGGTGTAAATCAGTTTAACATTACAGCCAAATGACTAGACATGCTTTTCTTGTCACCTGTCTAACCTCGTGGGGTTTTTCTGAGTCCTCTGGTTTCCTCCAATCTGATTAGAATACAGATCTATATGTCGTTTCGTTTTTTTTATACTTTCGATGGCCTACACTACATGAAGATTTGAATGGTTGTACTTGGAGGTCGCGTCAGGGGTCGTACAAGTGGCTTTTAACCCTATGATGTCAGACATTGATTAATATCAATCAGCGTTGACGTTTCTACAGATATACCCACAGTCGGTTCATCACACGCCAAGAACTGGCCGCAACAGACTATTTCATTGGCTAATCTCTCACATCATCCAGACGGACGATAACAACCCCTTGTGTAGTAAAGATAAGTAATATGAAATTTTGAACTATAAAAAATGAAATAGGATCTGCGTTTTAATCAGATTGTGTTTCCTCCCACTGCTAAAGACCCCTTCGCATGAGCGAATTATTGAAATAAAATTGAACCATATGTTAGTCCCAAAATGACCTAGTTTGTGTTGAGTGGACTTTAAACCCCATTTCTCTCTTTTCTTGTCAGCCCCTTGACAAGGGACGACCAGGCTAAGTAGAATATTTGGGATTATTCCCCTGTTCCTGATGTGTACCTGTACCCCCTGTACTTGGTGTTTAGAACATGATGTTACTAGTTAAGATACCTTTTCCCCGTGTACATGATGTTTAGAACATGATCTTACGAGGTAAGGAAGAGATAATTAGTTTAATAACACAGAACTGTAAAAATACTGGTCAGTGTTTTATTTGTTTACATTAGAATAATTAGATACCACAACCAGTGAAGGTGTAGCCATGGACATAAAGTTTGCACTGGCTTTCAGATGTTTTAGAACAGTTTGCATTTGAAACTAAAAAGTAAACTCACTGATAGTGATGGTACAATAGGGCCATGGTTTCAGTTTAAAACCTAGTTAGATTGTGACCTTTCAGTTAAAAACCATGTTTAGAACTTGACCTTTAAACTATCAATAATTAGTTCAATAAATGTGGTAAAATTCAAGGTGTAAAAAGTAGGACATGATTGGTCAGTTTTTATTAATTTGTTGATGTTAGAAACTGTGAGAATTGTGTACCTGTAGATAGCGCGGAGGGTCTCTGGTCAATTAGTTCTACTCCCTGGTCAAACAGTACATAGAAGCCAGTCCTTCACGTTTATGAAATCGTGCAGGAGCCATAAAAAGCTACTGACATTTTCAAAAACGAGATAAAAGCTCCTGTAAAAAACATTCTTATTAATTATATTGCTAAAATAATTCTACATTTTCTTGAATTAAGGAGCGCTAAATTGTATTTAGGCTTTAGTCTTGTTTAATATTCTCTTTATATGTTCTTATGGAAGTTACTTCTTTACATGTTTGATAGCACGAATGCATGCAGTTTAAAAATAAACTAAAACTGAAAGTAGTTTATTCATCT